CCTGCCGGCCTGAGTGCCCCCAACTGCCCTCCCCTGCTGGCCCAGTCACCCCTAACTGCCCTTCTTGCCAGCCTGGTTGCCCCTAACTGCCATCCCCTGTAGACCTGGTCACTCCCAACTGCCCTCCCCTGCTGGCCCGGTCACCACCAACTTCCCTCCATTGCCAGCCCGGTCACCCCTAACTGCCCTCCCCTGCAGGCCTGATTGCCCCCAACTGCCCTCCCTTCCAGGCCTGGTCCCTCCCAACTGCCCTCCCCTGCTGGTCTGGATTCCCCCAACTGCTCTCCCCTGCAGGCCTGATCTTCCCCAACTGCCATCCCATGCCGGCCATCTCTGACCACATGGGGGCAGTCATCTTGTGTGTTGGAGTGATGGTCAATTTGCATATTACTATTTTATTGGCTAGGATCCCAATTATAGTTTATATTTAATTTTATTTTGTATTAGTTTCAGGTGTAGAACATAGTGTTTAGACAAATTTTACAGTTTTCTGCCTGATATTTTCAGTACCCCTATCACCCCTATGTATTTTGGAATCATGTGCCACTTCAATATGAAAATATTGCAGATTTCAATAAAGGGCCTTGTACATGCCAAATCTTAAATTGTTCCTCAGTGTCCAGGCTCTGGTTACAGTGTTAGAGTTCTACTGGAAAGACTTCTTTTGAGTGTGATCTTATGATTTCAATATACGTGTCCATGTGTCCTAAAAATCAATATGAAGCAACCCTCAGGCTCATGAGTAGAGGACTTTTGTAGAGGACTAAGTTATCCTGCCTTGCTCATGCCTGAGCTCTAACTTCCTAACCCCATGAAATGAGAAAGGCAAAAGGTCAAACTGAGTTACTAACAAATATTATAAAAACAAATGATCATTCGTACTCCTTCACAAGAAAATTTTCATTCATTCAGATATATCTGACTACTTCTAATAATCTGGGGTACTTCAGGACAATATGGCCAATTACATCTTGTTCCAAGTTGTATTTTCACACACATCCTGGTCTCTCCTGTTTGGTGATAAGTATAGAAGAGAAAGCTATACGGCCCTTATTGTATTCGTAGTCATTAAAACTTTATGCAGATATAACAGTATGTTTCATGGACTGCTGCATCAAATGGTTATAATGGAGATGAGTTTTCTCACAAGGAATTGATGGGGTTAAAATAGAAGTATTTTAATTTATTAATATAGAAGTTGTTCAAGGTGCTCTTTACCCTGACATTAGAGAGCAATGAAGACTTGAAGTGATGGTTCTGACTGGTTTGGCTCAGTGGATAGAGCGTTGGCCTGCAGACTGAAAGGTCCCAGGTTCGATTCCAGTTAAGGGCGTGTACCT